GCCCTGGGAGGCCTCCAGCATGGCCCGAAGACGTCCCAGGACGGTCCAAGAGGGCCTCCGAGACGTTCCACGAGCGCTAGAAGACGCTCAAGTCAAGATAGCCTCCAGACGGCCCAAGAGGCCCCCAAAACGCTCCAAACGGGCTCCAAGAAGACGCCCGAGAGAGCCCGCACAAGCAAAAATCGTCCCAATCCTCCGGGAAAACGTGCATTTTCGCAATCCCCGTGTTCTTCGTTTTCAAAGCGTCCAAGACGACAATACAGGCCGCCGCCAAGATCGCCCCAAGACGCTTCAAGAGGCCCCCACGACGCCCCCAAGACGGCCCCAGGACGGCCCCTGTGGCGCCCATAGCAGCCCAAGAAGCAGTCAAGACAGCCCCAAGAGCGGCCAAAGATGGCCCAAGAGGGTATCCAGACGGTCCCAAGACGGCGCTTCTGGCGCCCAAGACGGCCCCAAGAGGCACCCAAGACGGCCCAAGAGGGCCCCAAGAGTACCCCAGGAGGCCCCAAGACGGCCCAAGAGGGCCCCAAGAGGTCCCCGGGAGGCCGAAAAGAAACCCCGAGAGGCCCCCAAACAGTTCCCAAGGAGAAGGCAGCGCCCGCCATCAGGCGCCGAAAAGGCAACCAGACAAAAGTCACCAGAGCCCTTCGGGTGAATTTTTCCCAGCCATCCTGTGGTGTTGGGTCCTCGTTTTGAACATTCTCCTCTTCCTCCTCCTCCTCCTCCTCCTCCTCCTCCTCCTCCTCCTCCTCCTTCCTCCTCCCTCCCCCTCCTCCCCCTCCTCCCTCCTCCCTGCGTTTCACCCACCCTGTACAGCGCTTCGTGGCCCGATAGGTAACTCCACCGAAGGCCCCAGTGCCACCGTCCACATGCGTCCCCCACACCCATTTCGGCACGCCCCTCACACGTTTCGTGGCCCTACCACCGAAGGCCCGAGTGCCACCGTCCACATGCGTCCCCCACACCCATTTCGGCACACCCCTCACACGCTTCGTGGCCCCATAGGGAGCTCCACCGAAGGCCCCCGCGCCACCGTCCACATGCGTCCCCACATCCATTTCGGCACACCCAGTACAGCGTTTCGTGGCCCCATGGGAAGCTCCACCGAAGGCCTCAGGGCCACCGTCCACATGCGTCCCCCACACACTCATTTCGGCACACACCTCACACGTTTCGTTGCCCCATAGGGAGCTCCACCGAAGGCCCGAGTACCACCGTCCACATGCGTCCCCCACACCCATTTCGGCACATCCCTCAAACATTTTGCGGCCCCATAGGGAGCTCCAGCGAAGGCCCGAGTGGCACCGTCCACTTGCATTCCCCTTCCCCGCACCCATGTCGGCACACCCCTCACATGTTTCGTGGCCCCATCGGGAGCTCACCGAAGGCCCCAGCGCCACCGTCCACATGCGTCCCCCAAACCCATGCCGGCACACCCCTCACACGTTGCGTGGCCCTACAGGGCGCTCTACCGAAGGCCCTTGTGCCACCGTCCACATGCGTCCCCCACACACATTTCGGCACACCCCTCACATGTTTTGTGGCCGCATAGGGAGCGCCACCGAAGAAGATATTCACAATTGCCGTACGCACAACGGCATATGGTTGGGGCCTTCGCCAGGCTAATTTTCTAGGCCCCAGGTGGTTTTGAACTTGTTCAAACCAGGGGGAGCAGACAAGCGGCGAGAGGCACACCGCAGACCCACCATAACCGTGTGTGACGCTCTGAAGGCTGTCCAGGCGGACGTGGAGCGGAAGGCGGACGAAGAGGAGGAAGCACCCACCTTCCAACTTCGGAAACGCGGCCGGGAAAAGTTACCGAAGGCTTCGGCGTGATTTTTTCCTGGGCAGGGGCCCAACGTGGAGGCGCGCCAGGGGGACCTACTGGTCGCGGACGAAGTCCACGGGTTCGCCCTAGTCTATATTATATGGCCAGAGCAAGCACGTGCCGAAAGGAAAGCGGATCAAATGGCAGCAGAGCCTTCCAGCGTGGCCCGGCGCGCTCTCGGGCGGCTCCAGGGCGCTCCACGACGGCCTCTCGGAGGGCTTCCCCACGGAGGCTCGCGGGCCCCAGACGGTCCCGGGCCTGCGAGACAGTCCACGAGCGCTCGAAGACGCTCAAGATAGCCTCCAGACGGCCCAAGAGGCCCCCAAAAAAGCTCCAAGTGGGCTCCCAGAAGACGCCCGAGAGAGCTCGCACAAGCAAATTATCCTGGCGAAGGATCCAACCATATGCAGTTGTGGGCACCGCAATTGTAAATATCGTCTTCGGTGAAGCTCTGATGGGGCCACGGAACGCTGTTTTGAAGGGGGGGAACCATGCGGGCGGTAGCACTGGGCCGTCGGTGGAGCTCCATATGGGGCCACGAAACGCTGCACTCGGTGGGGGGGACGCATGCGGGCCGTAGCACCGGGGCCTTCGGTTGAACTCCCTATGGGGCCCTGAAGCGCTGCACTGGGTGGGGGGGACGCATGCGGGCGGTAGCACTGGGACCGTCGGTGGAGCTCCCTACGGGGCCACGAAACGCTGTACTGGGTGTGGGGGACGCATGCAGTAGCACTGGGACCTTCGGTGGAGCTCCCCATGGGGCCACGAAGCGCTGTACTGGGTGGGGGGGGCGCATGCGGGCCGTAGCACTGGGGCCTTCGGTGGAGCTCCCCATGGGCCCCATGGGGCTACGAAGCGCTGCACTGGGTGGGGGGGGACGCATGCGGGCGTTAGCGCCGGGGCCTTCGGTGGAGCTCCTTTTGGGGCCACGAAACGTTGGGTGTGGGGGACGCATGCGGGCGGTGTGTAGCACTGGGGCCGTCGGTGGAGTTCCCCATGGGGCCACGACGCGCTGCACTGGGTGGGGGCACGCATGCGGGCGGTAGACCTGGAACTTTCGGTGGAGCTCCCTATGGGGACACGAAACGTTGTACTGGGTGGGGGGACGCATGCGGGCTGTAGCACTGGGGCCTTCGGTGGAGCTCCCTATGGGACCACGACACGTGTGAGGGGTGTGCCGAAATGGGTGTAGGAGACGCGTGCGGGCTGTGGCATTGGGGCCTTCGGTGGAGCTTTCTAGTGAAATGCCAAATTGGGCATGCGGGACGCATGCGGGCGGTCCCACTGGGAGCTTCGGTGGAGCTCCCTATGGGGCCACGAAGCGGTGTACTGGGTGGGTGAAAATGCAATATTGGACGTGTGGGACGCATGCGGGCGGTCCCACTGGGAGCTTCGGTGGAGCTCCCTACCGGGCCACGAAACGCTGTACTGGGTGGGCGAAAATGCCGTATTGGATGTGTGGGACGCACGCGGGCGGTCCCACTGGGAGCTTCGGTGGAGCTCCCGATGGGGCCACGAAACGTTATACTGGGTGGGTGAAAATGCCAAACTGGGCTTCTGGGACGCATGCGGACGTTCCCACTGGGGGCTTCGGTGGAGCTCCGTATGGGGCCACGAAGCGTTGCATTGGGTGGGTGAAAAGCAGGGAGGAATGAGGAAGGGGAGGGGGGGGAGGAAGGAGGGAGGAGGAACGCGGGGAACGTCTCTTCAAAGCGAGGACCCAATACCACAGGATGGTTGGGAAAAACGTCCCAAAATCTGAGGAGGAAACCCACATTTTCGCAACTCGCGTGCTCTTCGTGTTCCAAGCGTCCACGACGACAATAGGGGCCCCCACGATCGGCCTAAGACGTTTCAGGGGGCCCCCATGAGGCTCCCCAGACGGCCCCCGACGGCTCCAGGATGGCCCAAGGCAGCCCCAGGACCGCTCCTGAGGCGCCCACGACGGCCCAAGAGTCGCCCAAGGCAACCCCACGAGCGGCCCAAAACGGCCCCAAGACGGCCCCAAGACGGCCCCAGAGGCGTCCAAGACGGCCGCAGACGGCCCCAAGACGGCCCAAGTGGCACCCAAGACGGCCCAAGAGGGCCCCAAGAGGCCCCCAGGAGGCCGCAAGACGGTCCAAGGGCGTCCCAAAGGGCACCCAGGAGGCCGAAAAGAAACCCCGAGAGGCCCCCATGGTCCCCAAGGAGAAGGAAGCGCCCGCCATCAGTGGCCGCATAGGGAGCGTTGCCCTCCTCCGTGGGTGCGGGCGCGAGCGAAAGAGCGCCGAATACAGCAGCATGGGCGCTACTTCCCTTTGCTATTGCCTCCCAGCTCCAGGGCGCCCTTCGCCGCTGCCGCCCAAGTGAGGCGAGAGATGCATTAGAGGCCTCTAGGGAACGCAGTCCCCAACACAGTCTGGTCCCAGAGGGGGCGCGGAGACGGCGTCCAAAAGGACGTGCCTCCCTGCGCGTCCACAGTGAGCCCCCATGCACAGTCCACCGTTCGACATTTCGAGTGCCCTGGGGCAGCATCGATCTCTCCCGTGGGCACGAAGCAGACAGCAGCGGCGGCGGCACACAGCAGCAGTCAGCAGTGGCAGGCATCGGGTAGAAGCACGCACCAAGCGGAACTGGTCATCAGCAACAATTTGCAGCCACAAGCAGCAAGAACACGCAGCAGCGGCCTCAAGCACTACCAAGAATTCACATAAGCGGCAGCAAGCAGCAGCACGCAGTAGCATGCGTGGAATGTGAGGTCGGTCCCCACAATCAGATGCCCAGTTCGTGCAGATTTCGTGGACGGAGTCCACGGGCCAGTCCTTCCGACGTCGCCAGCCTCCTTCCAGTGCCCACAACCCACGACGACCACCACCACCACCACCACCACGACAACGACGTCGATTACGACGGGTACGACGGCGGCCTCGCGGCGGCGATGACAACGACGCCGACGATGACGGCGACGACGGCGGCCACGCGACGGCCAAAGTGTTGGAGCGTTGCTCGAGCTCGGAGCGGCCGCCGCCGTGCTTCTAGGTTTTCGACCATATCTCCGCCGTTCCTCCGAGAACCATTCCAGAAAGATGTCGTGGACGGAGTCCACGGGTCAGCCCTCGTCAGCTACACCGTTGGGATCAGCGCGTGCGAGAAGGGCGAGCAGTGGCAGCGGGCGCTCGCGCTGCACAGCGAGATGTGGGAGGCGAAGCTGGAGCCTAACGTCATCTGTACTACAATTCTGGTCGTTGCGCGTGCGAGGTGCGCCAGCGATGTGCCAGCTGCCCCCGACCGCCCAGAGCGCTCTGGAGCGGCCAGGAGCGCCCTCGTGGCCCCCGGGGCCTCCCAACAGGGCCCCAGGAGTTGCACGAGAGGACCCACGCCAGGCCCCCAGGCGGCTCCAGCCCCCCACCCTGGCCCCAGGATGACCCAATAGGCCCCCAGGACGGTCCACTAGGGCCCAGGAAGACCCCGATGACGGAGGGCCCCACGAGCCAACAAAAACAAGCAAACACCATGCATGTTCCAAGGTTTTCCTCGTTCGTCCCATGACGGGCCCAGAACAGCCCCATTCGGCTCCAGGTCCTATCGAGATCGCATCAAGATGACCCAAGAGTTCCTCACGAGCCCAATCAGACGGCCCGTGAGGGCCCCAAGACGGCCCAGAACAGGCCTCGAGCCTCATATAATTTTAAGTGGCCCCCCAAGAGGGCTCCAGGAGCTGCGCAAAAGGGCCCATGTCGGGCCTCCAGGCGGTCCCAGACCCTTACCCTGGCCAGAGATGGCTCACAAGGCCGCCCGGACGGCCCACGAGGGCCCAGGACGACCCCGATAGTTTTCCCACGAGGCGAATTAACAAGCAAACGAAAATATATGCTCCAAGGTTTTCCATGCTTTCCCCTATGACGGGCCCAGAAAGGCCCCACACGGCTTCAGGTCCTGCAGAGATCGCACCGAGATGGCCCAAGAGGCCCTCGCGAGCTCACCAAGACGACCCATGGGTGCCCAAAGGCGATCCAGAACAGTCCCTACAGAGCTTCAAGTTGCCCCCCAAGACACCCAGGAGCTGCCCAGGCGGGCCCTAACAAGATTTTCAGACGGCCCCAGACCCCCACCCTGGCCCCAAGCTTGCCCAAGAGGCCCCCCGGATGGCCCAAACGGGCCCACGAGGATTCCGAAGACGGCCGCACGAGGCCAAACATCAAGCATTGCATGTTCGAATGGTTTTGCACATGTTCCCAATGACAAGCCCAGAACGGCACCGCGCGGCTCCAGGCACTTGAAGGACCGCCCAAGGTTGCCCACGATGTTCCGACCAGCGCACCAAGACGGGCCACAAGGGCCTCACCGCCCCCCCCAAGACCGGCTTTAGACTGGCCCCAGACGGCTTGGTAGAGCTAGCTTCAGCTAGCCCCCCAGCACGCTCCGGGAGCTGCCTGCCCAAGAGTGCCCCAATTTCAACCGAGCTCAAACACGGCCCTAGACCCCCACCGTGCCCCCACGACAGCCGCGGAGGCCCCGGGACGTCCCCCGTGTGGCCCAAGGGGGCCGCTTGATGGCCCAAGAGGGCTCCACGAGCTGTTGCAGACAAGGGGGCCCCAGAATAGCACCATGGGAACCTCAGAGCGGCCCAAGGGGGCCCCAGACTCCCGGCGAGGGCACCCCAACACGTCTCGAGTCCCCTCCCGCCGATTAGGGGTGGCAAGGGGGAACTTCTCCTATCGTCTCTGCCTCGGCCTCCTCCTCTGGGAGCCCGCACCCCCATCTCTCCCGTACCGCTCTCCTCCTCATCCTTTTCCTCCTCCTCCTCCTCCTCCTCCTCCTCCTCCTCCTCTCCTCCTCCTCCCTCCTCCTCTCCTCCTCCTCCGCCTCCTCCTCCTCCGCCTTCTCCTCCTCCTCCTCCTCCTCCTCCTCCTCCTCCTCCTGCTCTGCTCCTCCTGCTCCTCCTCCTCCTCCTCCTGCTCCTCCTCCTCTTCTTCCTCCTCCTCCTCCTCCTCCTCCCCATCGTGCAAGAGGATGCAGCGGGATCGGACTACGGGCTTCCCGCAGCCGTCGATGCCACGAGAACCCTCCAGGGACCACTCCGAGATAGTCCAGACCATCCCAGGACACTCGCAGACAGCCTCCAGCCCCAGAGCCCAGAGGCTGCAGTAAACCTGGGAGCCTGTTGGTCCCGAACGCCCTCGTGTCGCCTGCGGTCGACGGCACGTGCGCGTTCGGAACTAACACCTTGACCTGCCAGCCGTGGATGTTCCACGGTTTCACCCTAGTCTGTACTACAATTCTGGGCGGTGCGCGTGCGAGATACGCCAGCAGTGCGCCAGCTGCCCCCGAGCGCCCGAAGCGCCCCAGCGCTCTCCGACGGCTCCACAGAGCCCCTCGGTGGCCCTAAGATGGCCACTGACAGCCCCAAGACACCTCTGAGACGCTCCGTTCGCACGAGGACGGCCCAAGAGGACCCGAACGGAGCCCCATGACAGCCCAAGACGGCCCCAGGACGGAGCAGGTGCTTCGGAAAACGGCTGAACCAGACCCCGATGACGGTCCCCCGATCCCCAAACCATGGGTTGCCCTTGGGCTTTTGAAGGTTTCGGACCAAGAACGGCCCCAGACGGCTCCAGGGCCATCCCAGATCATTACAAGACGATCCAGGAGGCCCCGCCAAGTGCCCAAAGACAGCCCCAGAGAGTACAAAGCCTGCCCAGGAGAAGCCCAAGACAGCCTCATAGAGTCCCTGGTGGCGCCCAAGACAGCCCCAAAAGGACCCCAGGAACTGCCCAACGGGCACCACAGCGAGCTCCAAGACGGCCCGAGACCCCCTACATGGCCACAGGACGGCCCAAGAGGCCCCCGAGACGGCCCCAAAAAAGCCCCGAAATGGGCCAAGAGGGCCCCTAGAGGAGCCAGAGAGACCCCCACGAGGGCTTGAAGAGTGGCCGAAGAGAGCCCAGACGACGCCCTTCCCGCAGACCCAGTGGACCAAGAATCATCCAAAGACCACTCCCACGTGCCCAGGAGCCTCCCGAGAGACCCCGATGGTTCCCACGGAGCTCCCAGGGAGAGTGCCTCGAGCCACGGTGCTCTTCCGCCGCCTCTTGCACCCAGAACGCATCCAAGACAGAGCTCCCAAGAGCGGTCCCAGGGCCACTCCGAGGTGCCCCAGAGTCGCCCACAAGATTCCTGCGCTTGCCAAGAGACTCCAACAGTTCCCCTGGACCTCCCAAGACCGCTCCCAGGAAGAGACTCCCACTGTTCCCACGGAGCTCCCAGCAGCGATCCCAGGACCTCTCTGAGATGGCCCAGAGTCGCCCTCAAGACCTCCCCCCTACGGCCGCTTATGGGTGCCAGAGGGTACCTTCTCCTCTGGTCTCAGGAGGGAAACCTGCAAACACTGCAGGGACCAGCGTCTCGCTGGCCCCCTAAGGCCGAGTAGAGCCCTTGGTGGCCCTCAAGACGGCCCCAAGACCACGAGATCCTTCCCTGGACCACTCCGAGGTGGCGCAGACCCACCCCAGGATATTCGAAGACAGCCTCCAGCCCAGGCTCCTGAAGCCTGCAGCAGACCCTGCAGCTAACGTAACCTCAGGGGTGACATGGGGGACCTTCTGACAGCAACTTCACACCACGCACGCACAATAAGGTTCCTGGGCTGTCCCCCAGAAGTGGCTCTGGGGGACAGCCCGGGAACAGCCCCAGAGGCACCCAAAAACCGCAAGGGGCCGAGGGCCCAACATGCCCCTGACAGTGCCCCAGGGACGCCCGAGCTGTTCAACTGCGACAGGCTGTTCACCCGCGGTGTGCGAGTCCCATGTTCTGCACGCCGTGGATTTAATCCACGGGTTTGCTAGTCTATACTACAATGCCGGTCGCAGCGCGTGCGAGGTGACCAGCAGTGGCTCGGGGCCGCTCCCGGCGCTCCCGGGACCCTGGTCCGTCGCCAGCGTTCCCGGAACCGTTGCGGCGGTCCCGCAGGGGCCCTGGGCCGCCCATGACGTGTTCACGAGAGCTCCGAGCGAGCCGCAAACCGGCCCCCCCAGGGTTCCTTAAGGAGCCGAGTGGCCCCGGAGGCACTCCAGACGACTCCGAGGACGCCCCCAGGAGCCAAAATTATCCTGGCGAAGGGCCCAACCATACGCAATTCCGAATGCCGCCGTTGTAAGTATCGTCGTTGGTGGAACACCCGATGGGGCCACGAAGCGTGTGAGAGGTGCGCCAAATGGAGGTGGAACTGCATGCGGACCCTGCCACTGGGGCCTTCGGTGGAGCACCCTGTGGGGCCGCGAAACGTGTGAGGGGTGCGCCGAAATGGAGGTGGAACTGCATGCGGACCCTGCCATTGGCGCCCTCGGTGGAGCTCCCTATGGGGCCGCGAAACGTGTGAGGGGTGCGCCGAAATGGAGGTGGAACTGCATGCGGACCCTGCCACTTGGGCCTTAGGCGGAGCTCTCTATGGGGCCACGAAACGTGTGAGGGGTGTGCCGAAATGGAGGTGGAACTGCATGCGGACCGTGCCACTTGGGCCTTAGGCGGGGCTCCCTATGACGCCACGAAACGTGTGAGGGGTGCGCCGAAATGGAAGTGGAACTGCATGCGGACCCTGCCACTTAGGCCTTAGGCGGAGCTCCCTATGGGGCCACGAAACGTGTGAGGGGTGCGCCGAAATGGAGGTGGAACTGCATGCGGACCCTGCCACTGGGGCCTCAGGTGGAGCTCCCTATGGGGCCACGAAACGTGTGAGGGGTGCGCCGAAATGGAGGTGGAACCGCATGCGGACCCTGACACTTGGGCCTTCGGTGGAGCTCCCTATGGGGCCACGAAACGTGTGAGGGGTGCGCCGAAATGGAGGTGGAACCGCATGCGGACCCTGACACTGGGCCTTCGGTGGAGCTCCCTATGGGGCGAAACCCGAAATGGAGGTGGAATGCGGTGGGGGTGGCGACGAACGTGTGAATGGAGGTGGAACCGCATGCGGACCCTGACACTTGGGCCTTCGGTGGAGCTCCCTATGGGGCCACGAAACGTGTGAGGGGTGCGCCGAAATGGAGGTGGAACCGCATGCGGACCCTGACACTTGGGCCTTCGGTGGAGCTCCCTATGGGGCCACGGAACGTGTGAGGGGTGCGCCGAAATGGAGGTGGAACCGCATGCGGACCTTGCCACTGGGGCCTTCGGTGGAGCTCCCTATGGGGCCACGGAACGTGTGAGGGGTGCGCCGAAATGGAGGTGGAAC